ACTATGAAACAAAAGCTCAAGTATATTGCTCAATGTCACTCAGTGTACATTTGGATATAAACTTCTGTCTCTGGTCAACAACTACGCAGCGGCTCATTGCGCTTCACTCAATTTGCTTTTCGATCAGAGTAAACTGATAGCGCACGAAACGCAAACTGATTGTCCGTTTCGCATATTTCCATAATTCATTGCAAATAACAAATAAAATCAGGATTGAAGCGGGGCGAATCGATTGTATGATTGAATGTGCATGAATTTTGCACTTCAATTTATAAATTATGTGTTTGAGCATAAAACAAAACATATGTTTAATTTATGCAAATGTGGAAAATACAACAGCCAATACGAGCATGGCACTTTTTCGGCGAGGGAGAGAGAGAGAGATGTGAGAGAAACATAGCGAACGAAGCAATGTGCAAACAGAACATGAATGGATGTGGTTGAACCGAGGTGGTGGCAGAGGCAGAGACAGAAACAAAAGCTCTACGTAGAACCGGTATGTGCGCCAATGAACATTCACTGAGCACACAGACCAGACACTGTGTAGCAAGCACTCAAATAAGGCCAATAAATTGTGATTATGGTATGACACATACACGATGCATAGTAAGTAGACCATTGAAAAGAAGAGAATGGGAGAGAGAGAGAGAGAGAGAGAGAGAGAGAGAGAGAGGGAGGAAAAAAACATCACGCAAATAAACCATGATAAGCAGAAGATAGAGAGAGTGAGAGGAGAAAAAAATACCGAACGAACTGCAAAATCATGGACCATCAACCCATTTGGCTCAGCTCGTTCCATGGATGATGCGGATCAACAAACAAAGAAATATCACCGAATGACAAAACATACTAAAAAATTCACCATCAAGTTATTTATTGTGGCCCAGTTCAGCTTGAATCTTGGGGCCATTGCAATAGCGGCAACTCCTTTTTCGTTGTTGTTTGCTGCAGTTCAAACAGAGTGAAAAAAAGCTTACTGACGCCTGCACTTGAACAACAACAACGATGGCAATAACAACAAAAAAACGGAGAAAACAGAGTTTTATTTACCTTTGTATATGAGCTCAACTTCTTAATTCTTTTTAGTTAACTCATGATTATGGTTTTTATTTGTGTTGTGAGTGACATAAAACTGTGGTTTTATTGAGCCTGTTTTGTGCATGGCTGACAAATATGAACTAGTATTTATGCCATTCGAAATATTGAGGTCATTTCGACCCCATTCAACATCAACGGAGCATCTTTTGGGTGTGTGTGTGTGTGTGTGTGTATCACACAACACGATATACGAATGTACGCTTCCCAGACTAATAGACAAGTTTTATGATACACTTACAGTCGGACGGATTCGAATGATGTACGATTATTGGGATTTTGTCCGTTTATTATTATTACTATCAGCAAAGATCGCATCCAACGCTTTTTGCCATTCTCAATAGAATCAATAACACAGTCAATCGATATGGTATCGTGAATGTGGTGTTTTGCCATTTTGTAAAAGAGAGGGTATTTCGGTTATCGATGACGCGTTTTTTCTTCTTCTACGTTTTGGTTTTGTTTTTGCGTTTTTATTTTGTCTAGACCAGAGACTGTGCGAGCGAGTTCATTCGCATTGCTGTGAATTTATTGTGATTCGGTGATATAATCCTCTTACTGTGCTCAGATCAAAAAAGATCACACAATTACAGCGAAAAACATCAGAATCGCAGAAACTTGTGTCACAATGGATGATATTTATAGCAACGAGAGAAATAGCAAGAAAAAAAACAAACGAGCGAAAAGCACACGACACGACAAAACCAAAATAGACACAACGACCCAAATGCAAAGCGTCAAATGTATGAAAAGCAAAACAAATACAGTGTGTCTATCCAAGTTTTATGCTTGGCTCGTTTGTTTTTTTATATTCGCTTGTGTGTGTGTTTTCTTTTCTCGCTTTCATTTTGCGCTTTGTTCAATCCGACTTGATGTATGCCATGCATTAACAAAAACGCGCCTTAACGCTGAACACATATCAAAATGGGGTACATGCAACTGTTGCATACATAATCAATGTGTTGTTGTATCGTGTGCTCATTTCACCGACTGTGGGCACATACACTCGCTTGATTTTTCCCTGTCTCTCCCTCCCTTTCTTTCTCTCTGTCTGAACTTTGTGTGTGTGTCGCTCTCTCTCTCTCTCTCTCTCTCTCTCTCTCTCTCTCTCT